AATCGTTTTTTTCCGAAAATTTATTTTATCATTATTAGTCTTTCTCAGATCCAAAAATTTTTATCAGAATCATTTTTGCCTGCTCGATTCAGCATGTATGCGTACGTGCGCGCGCGTATGTGTGCACATGTGCAAGCGAATGAATGAGTGAGCGAATGAATGAGTGAGCGAGTAAGCAAGTGAGTATTCACGCATGTGTGTATGTAATTGGACTGTCAAATAAGACATATTCTACATCTAAACTGTTAATTATTATTACTTACATTTTCAGGAATACTAGGTAATTGAAACTGTTTTGGGCTTTGACAAATAAAATTCTGAAAGAAATTTTAAAAAAGTATTAAAACAGTGTATTCAACAAATAGATAACATTAAATTTCTTATTAAACACACTTAACAGTTTAGTAAATTATATGATGGAGTTTAATAATTACTTACCGCTGTAGAATTTGGTAAAGGAATAGATATGGAGTTTCCAGGTACTGGCACTCCACAAGTATATATAATTTCAAGAAATTTCCAGGGATCTTCTTCACTAGTATTGCTGGTTAAGGATGCAATATGATTCAAAAGTCTACAATGAAAAATTTAATATTTTGATCTATTTTGAACACATGTGAATGTTTAAATAATATATTTTGACTAACTTGTAAAATGTTTCGTGCCATGGAAGGGCACTTAAAACTACTAAAGCTGTTTCTGTTTTAGGATCATGACGGCAGAATCCAAAAGTCCATTTTGAATCTATACTAGTGAGCACAAATGAAAAATGTTGTACTAATAAACTAAAACAAAAAAATATAATAGGACAAAGACAAAAGATTATAATTTATATTGTATGATAATCAATGTTAACATACTTCTCAAATTCACAAGGATATGCAAATTTAGGGACAGATTTCAGTATTTCTTCATCTGAAAAGGAATTGGGATATTTTTGGAGAATCCAAGCTGGCTTCTCCCTTATTGGCGCAGCTACTTCACAGAAACATTCAAAAAGTTGTTTGACATTTTCTCTGAAAATTTCATTAGAAAAACATAATAAACATCAATGTTTATTATAACATCAATGTTAATGATTTGAATGAAATATAGCTTGCAAGTTATGAAGATATTGTAACAAAATTTTAGAATTGAATGAAAATTTTATAAATAATGATCATACATAATTGTATTACAATATTCATAAAATATATTTTTAAATATTTTTTATATTGAATTCTTATATTTTATCTTTTACAAACATACAGCAAATTTTATAAGAATATAAAGATATAAAATAGATTTTGTTGAATAAAGCAGAAATTTTGTATTGGAAAATCATCTGATTGCAATATAAAAATAACTGCTCTAGAAATCCATTATGTATCTTGAAATGAGATAAAACTACAAAACAACAAAACTAAAAACTACAAAAATTTAGTGTGAATTTACAATATTTATAATTTGGGAACTCCTCATCTTAAAGCTTCCTAGGAATCATGTTATCCTTATTAAATATTTGAGAAACAACAAAAATAATACTTGGATGGCAATCAATATGGGAATCTGAATACAATCATCTAGTAAATTTATCTATCTTTGAAATTTTTACCTCATTTCAAGATATGCAATCATGTTCTTGATTACATCTCATTCAAAAGAATTCATTAGTGGAGATCTACAATGAATCAGTAATAAGTAGTTTCAGGAGTTGGCTGCAGACTAACTACTAATTCACCAATTTAGACTACAATCCTAATTCAATTATCCTTCAGACTCGATTTTGATTCACCAACTACAGACTAAAGACTCATTGTAGACTCGGCTTTATATCAGAATCTATAATTCTATGAAGGAAAAATATATTATATTTAGCCTGATTTATGCCAAAGTTATAACATCCAATGTTTATTACTAATGTTAAAGTCCTGTGCATAAAGAGAAAATATTAGGAATAGAAATAAATATTAAGATTTCAACCAGAAACCATGTATTCCGATGTAATTGATATCCAACAAGTTGAAATCTTAATATTTATTTCTGTTTCTAATATTTATTTATAATTTTCTAATGTTCTAATTTATTGTGCGCAGGAATAAATGCTGTGTAAATTCTATTTTACAACGAAGTTATTACATTGATTTAGTTACTCTAACTAACTAAAAGCCATTTAGTGAAGAGGGTTATTTATGCTGATTCTACAATAAGGCAATTGGTAATCTTAAATCCTAGTCCAAATCTACAATGAATCAGTGACTGTGTTCAGCAGAACACAACAATTTTGGAACCATTTTATGATTGTTTGCTGAGACAGGACCATTCCTTAGATCTAAAAGTATAATCCAATATGCAAACTTCCAACAGTTGCAAAATAAACATTCTGCTGAACACAGCCAATAGTCTTAGAATTTAGCTGCATCATATACAGTAACCAAAAAATCAGAATTTTTGATTTAGTAATGAATCTATTTCTATCTATTTCAATTCTTTGGGAATTAAAAAATGGGATAGAAATGGATTCATATGGACATTACCAAATACTAATTATAAATAATTTTGATTTTTCGGATACTGGGCACTAGTTCAGATAGTGCAGAAATAAAGAACTTTAATAAGACTATCGATTGTCTTAAGATTGACCAAATTCGATTTTATTCCTTCCCATCAGTCAAGCTATATATGACTTGCTATACGTCTTGCTGTACAACTTAACAACTTGTAGATACGAAAAATCATAATGGCCTTTCAACAAGCAACACAAATGACACAGTGTGACATACTGGATCATTACATCTTTATTGTTTGCCAATATTAAACAAAGATGACATGATCTCTGTGTCGCACTATGTCTCTTGTTAGAAAGTATACATAGAGCTGGTTGTTCCATCTTTTGATAAATTTTACCTGTTGGGTAAGCAAGATTACCCAATCACATGCATGAATTATCAAATTTACCTCACAGATAAAATTTACCAAAAGATGAAACAACCGACCCAAAGTCATCTATTTCAGTAAGACTTAAGGTTAAAAATTAAGATTTCCGACTACTAATTCATTGTAGAATTAGTTTTACTATAACGACGTAAAAATGGCCACGACGTTATGTTTACATAAAACGGGCCGCGTAAATGTAACCTAAAAATTCTTTGCTCATTGAATCATTTACATGCTTTCGTTCAGCTTGGTGGACATGATAAACCTAAGAGTGTAAACGTAATTCACTTAAATAGAAGTTATAACAGCGTTACTATAAATCTAAGCACAAAGATGACCGTAACTGAGTCGTGAAATATAATCATAAGTTGATTAAAACATTGTATGTTCACTTATGACTTACAATTCACATTTCACAATTCAGTTAAATCAAAGTTAAGAAACCGTGTAAATGTCCTAATAAACTTGCCTTAATCTAGATCCCATGATAACAACTTAAAAAAAAGGTAATTACTCAATTTAGCAAACACAATCACAAAAGTTAATAAAAAACATACAAATCAACGTGTTTTTCATGAAACAAATAAATCTGGCTAAAAAAAGTGTCGCTTTATCCCGCGAAACGGGAATTAACAGTAGAAGTTTGCCACTATTAAGGTTACGAAACCAATCATATCGACATAATGCAACGAATCCTTCCACTATGAAACTGCGAATACATTGGGATCATATGTGTATATATACAGAATTGCCAACTTGTTGAGAGTAGAGATCATGAAGTAAAGGTATCTTTTCATGCCGACGTTCGACGCTCATTTTCGGCATCAAAATAAATCACGTGATAGAAATTGACTATAAAGTATAGAGAATAGAAAGTCGAACTAGGGCCGGTATTCATAGGCCGGTATTTATAGTCGAGTCTTATTTCAAGATCGTCTTAAGTAATGTCTTAGGACGCTAATAAAATATTTATTAAAATTGGAACTGAATTTAATTCCATCACAATGAAATTTTCTTTATGGTTATTCCCACCGATTAATTAGATCAAAATATGAGAAATATACTTTTTTCTTATTTACATTTATTTATACTAACTACCGCGTTTGATATTTACCGTAAGTAAACCCTCATTCAATACAAGAATCAGATTTTTATTTTCTCTTGTATAGGTTAAGATTAGCATCGATCTCATGCAACGAAAATTTAAATTCATATGACGTTACAAATGCTACAATCGATCTACTAGCGTAGCTTACAGTAACATTGCTTTTCGTAACATTACAATTATTGGATCAATCGGAGCATAGCATTTAGAGCATAACGTTCAGAGCATAAGAAGCATCAAGTTGATCGCAGCCTACATATGCTATAATCTCTTTTCACGTTTAATTCGAGTTTCAATTCCTAGGCTACATTCAAAATGTCTTCTCCGAGGAAGATTTCATTCTATATGCTATAGTATACATCACGTGTACTATATATTTCGAATAAAATTTTCCTCGGAAAAGTTTTGAAACGTAGCCCTAGTTTGATTATGATAAACTTAAAAAATGGATCATTTCAATTATTGTAATAATAATTATTATATGGATAGTACATTATCGATAGTACATTATGACATACAAGACATCGATGACCAACCAAGTGGGCGATAATGAAAAATTCGGTGACAAACTTTTAATTGTTCTTGTAGAAGTCGCTCTTACCTATATGAAAGTATGAAAAAAAAGTATGAAAGATTATAGAAATGCAAAATTAAAAGAAAATGCATGGAAAGAAATGGCTGAAATTGTAAATGTTACAAGTAATTTTGAATTAAAAATTAATATATTTATAAATTTGAAATAAAAAAGGCTATATAAGGCTATGCAAGATATTCATTATTAAAAATCTTTTCAAATAAAAAATATAACGATTCAGATGTTTATTATTAAATTAATTAAAAATATTAAACATTATATACCTAAGTAGAAACAAAAACAATAATGAACAAATGTTTCAATCCTTATTGGGTCAATTGCAATTGTTACAATAATTTTTTAAAATTAACTATAACATTAAAGCTAATTAGAACTACTTATACCTTTTTCAAAATTATTTTAATTGGGTCTTTATTCTTATTTTATTAATATATTTATTTACTATCTTATTAACAATTTCTTTTCTATAAACTGCTAAACATACAATTTAGTGTTAAACATAGCGTTTATGCTTGTGTTATATTAATAAATAAAATATTTATGATGTAAGTATTACAATTCATCTTCCATCTTACTTAAATATTTGCATGAAAATATAATAAATAAAAATTGTATGTTATGTATGTATATATAAATGTTCCAGAAATACTTTCTATGTAATACTTTTTAATTCAAACATTATAAATTATATTTATCAAAATTTTTTGATGAAAATCTGTTTAAAAAATATATATAAATACTTCATTGAAGGCAATTTTTATCTTGTAATGACTTAACATTTTTAGGTTTCATCTACTGAAGCAGAAAAGCATACTATAGTATATACGCGATCTGATTGGTTGGCCGTTATTTCTTTCGCCACATTGAGCAACGGGAGCAATAGTTTATATATTTCTTATTCCTATATTATTCCTATCACTATATTATCGCTATTGCCTCGCATTGTGTTTAGGTCTTTATTCTTTGACATTACTGAACTATAACTATATACATACACTAAAATGGGCATCTCCGCTGCAGCGGTGCTAAAGTCACTAGATTATAAAGTACCGCAATTGATTTCAGAAATGTCGCATAAAAATGAAGTGCACATAATACACGATTTGGGGTGCGTTCCATTTCTTGCATGATGCTCATAGAAGCATAGAAATTCCGTTTCTCTTCATGCACACTGGCTGCATGTATGATTCAACCTACCGCCAATTGCATGCCAATTGCTCCGCCTCTTCCGGTGCATGAGATCGCATGAAGTGCCTCACCTCTCGAGCTGAGGCAGTTCATGCAGCTTATGCATTCAACATATTTTAGTGCGAAACTGAAATCAAAAATCTTTTTATCAAAAAAGAAGATGTAATAATAATTATTGAATGTCTTTGTAATTCAATCAATTTTAAATTGTCCATATTCACTGCATGAATTCATTGCGAATTCATTCCGTTACTACAATATCCGCATGGAGTATATTGGAGAAACGAAACATACTCTGCACCCCATGCTATGCACTAAATACTCCGTTCCACGGAACGCACTTGAAGTACACCAGAGTCCACATAAAAATGCTCAAGCTCATGCGATAATCACTTGTGATGTGTACTTTCATATTCCTGAACAATTCTGAACTGTACTTACACGTATTCTTCGTGCACTTTTATGCACAAAACTTCTACGACAAATAAATCCGTATTAAACTAAAAAACATATAAATTGAGCATTCGTGCATATTTTTTTGTTGTAAATAAACTAAAAAACATTGATTTACATACTTGAGCTTCATTTTTCCAAATAAAGCACGTAATACAAATGCATAAATTCGAAATGGCCACATTTCGCAAATGGATGCGAGTTTACGGTATTTTATATATCTAGTGACTTTAAGTGGTCATCCCCATGGTAGTTAGCCCCCGACACCACAGAAAATTAGCTTTACCACTTCTATCGCCACCAAGCAAATACCTAGACTGCGTTCGGATTCCCTAGATGCTCCTCAGATGTCATATCATCCTTGTTGTTTATCCAATGTTAAATAAGGATGACATGACATCCGAGGAATATTCAGATAAGAATCCAGCCCTACTGGCCGAGTCGGCCGATTGCGCGAGAGCGAAACAGCGTTCGTCCTTCTCGCTCTATTATTAACTTGTAAACAAGCGAATAATATGTAGAGCGAAAAGAACGGGCGTTCTATCTCGCTCTCTCTACTACTTGTTATAAACGAAAACTAAAAATGTGCTTTCTCGATTGCTCGGCGTGTTCCTGTATAAGAAAAAAAGAGATACACATTCTGGATAACGAAATTTATTATTATAAAAAAGATTTTAATAAATTTTAATAATCATATAACCCTCCCATTAATAGCAAAAATGATTTTAATGTTAAAAAAATCAAAATGTGTTTCAAACATGACGTTTCTCATAATCTTTCCAGTGCACTCATTTTTTTTTTGGAAATACGCTCGGATATTTTTTTCAAAATTTGAAAATTGGCAGGGTTTACAGTTAAAAAGAATAAAAACGAGTATTAGTCTAATTATTCATTTATTTTTTATTAAAAAAAATATTTTTTAAAAATATTTCAATAATTTCATAATATTTTTTCATAATATT